CGCCTTCCCGGGGCCACACACGCCGGCCGGCCCCGCGGGGACACAGCCGGCCAGCCCGCAGCCTACCTCGCCCAGCTGGGGGTCCCTGGCTCCCCTCGCCCAGGCTTGGCACTGGGCAGTGTGTCTGAGCTCTGTGGAGGCAGGGGGCTGCAGCAGGGCTGCTGTTTGGCCAATGCATCCCCCAAAGCTTTGGACACAGGGCTGGAGAAACCCGCCCACCTGCTTCCGCGATTCCCAGCACCGCAGCCATCGTCCCCTCTGCGTTACCCATCCCTTCGGTGGCTTGGACCCATCGTTGCAAAGCAAGGGGGGATGCATTGAGATGGCAGCAGGGGTGCAGCCCCCTCCTCCCTAACCCTGGGTCTCCCTCACAGCTTGGCCAACATCCCGTTGACTCCGGAGACCCAGCGGGACCAGGAGCGGCGGATACGCAGGGAAATCGCCAACAGCAACGAGAGACGGCGGATGCAGAGCATCAATGCTGGCTTCCAGTCCCTGAAAACCCTCATCCCACACACGGATGGGGAGAAGCTCAGCAAGGTGAGCAGGATGCACGTTCTGCACGTGGAGGGCTGAAAGCGGAGTTGGGGGTATTTGGGTGTAAATTCACTGATGGAGCTCTCTCCTGGTGAGGTTTTCCAGCAGGAGTGGGTGTGCATCCCTAGCCCGGTCCTGGATTGGGCTGGGAGCGTGTGACAGCCCCCAGTGCCCCAGGAGCAGGGTGACACATTCCTGGGTGAGGAGGGGGCCCCACTGCAGAGGGGAGTGGGGTGAGGAGGCAGCTGGTCAGGTTCCCAAGGGGGGTGAATTGGAGGGTTTCACCATGCTGGAAATCCCAGGGGGAACCTGAGGTGAAGCAGACTCCGGGAGGAGACTCCAGGGCTGTGCTGCCTGCAGAGCTCATCAGGAGGAGGCCTGGGGGGACACCAGGGTCTCCTGCCTCAGCATGCCCCTCCTGGCTCCCCCACAGGCAGCCATCCTCCAGCAGACAGCCGAGTACATCTTCTCCCTGGAGCAGGAAAAGACTCGGCTACTGCAGCAGAACACCCAGCTCAAGCGGTTCATCCAGGTACTGCCCCAGGGATGGGACAGGAGGGGGTGGGACAATCCTGGCTGGCCAGGGCGGGGGTGTCACTGCAATTCCTTGGGCTCAGGGTGGGACCCTCTACTGTGCTCAGCTGGAGAGTGGAGATGGCATCTCTTACCTGGCAGGGGGAGAAGGGTTGGGGCCCCATTTTCCGTTCTTTCCACCCGTTTGGGGTGTCTGGGATGTCACCCCAAATGGCAATTCTGGTGCTGGAGTGCCCTGGTTGAGCTGCCCTAGGTGTCACAGTGTGAGAATCAGGTTGGCACAAGGCTGTGGGGATGAGGACCAGGGTGGGGGACACGGGGAGGAGCCCATCTGTCCCCAAGCACCAAACAGAACCCCAGGGAGACCCTTTCCTGCGTGGAGCTGTGGTGGGGAGTGGCATCACGCAGGGGTGTGGATGGCAGGGAGAGCACCTATGCTAGCCCCCTTTCCCTGACACCATATTCCCATGGCAGGAATTCAGTGGCTCCTCCCCAAAACGGCGACGGGCAGAGGACAAAGACGAGGGGATCGGCTCACCAGACATCTGGGAAGATGAGAAGGCCGAGGATCTGCGTCGGGAGATGATTGAGCTCCGGCAGCAGCTGGACAAGGAGCGCTCGGTCCGCATGATGCTGGAGGAGCAGGTGAGGCCAGGTGCCCTCTTGCAGCCTCTGCCATGTCCCCAGTGAGCCCAAGGGACACCAGCAGTGCTGTGGGGTCGCTGAACACCTGCTTTGGAGACCAATTCTCCATGTTCATCTGGGGCTTCCTGGCTCCCACTGAGGGGACAGCTGTGGTTCAGTGGGGCCATGCCACGCTCTCACTGATGCTGGGGTTCCCTGGCCCACAGGTTCGCTCCCTGGAGGCCCACATGTACCCCGAGAAGCTGAAGGTGATTGCTCAGCAGGTGCAGCTCCAGCAGCAGCAGGAACAGGTGAGGTTGCTGCACCAGGAGAAGCTCGAGCGCGAACAGCAGATCCGAACCCAGGTGAGCGCACCCCAGACACCCCCAGGGTACTGAGGCACGGCAGGGCTGGTTTGGTCCCAGGAAAGCTCTTGCCCTTAGTGATTTGGGAAAGGGGTGCCTCACAGCCCCCCACAGTGCTTGGGGCTGTGCTTGTGAGAACCCTGTGTTTCAGGGAGGGACCCGTGGTGGCTTCCAGTAGCTCTGTTCCCTGGCACAGAGGGGTTTGTACAGGGAGGGTCACTTGCTGCCAGAGAGGGTTTCATCTCAGGGGCTTCACCTTTCTCTGTGTGACTCCCACTGAATTTCAGGGATCCCCAAACCACTCCCAGCAGGCTGGGAAAAGGGAGTGTCAAGCTGGCAGGCAGTGGGGATGGGAACCTTCAGCCTCTCCCCCGAGACTGCTGGATTTGCCAGTGGTGCAGGGAGGAGGTGAGCGCTGTGCCAGCACCGGTCCCTGTGCACTGCTGCCCTCGAGCCAGCCCGGGGCCTCGCCACTCTGGGAGCTTCAAAGGAAGGAACAGCAGCTTCTTCCCCTCTCCTTGGGCTTCAGCAGAGCCCTGTCCCTGCAGGGTCCCCACCAGCCGCCTCCTGGGGAAGTTCAGCCTATTTTTAGGTGAACTCTCCGTAGCCTTCTCCTAGGGCGGATCTTCCCATCCGCTGCTCAAACGAGGATCTCCGAGGGGTGTGGGGAATTCCTGGCCACACAGGGGCTGGCACTTGCCTCTCCTGGCTTCAAAGCCCAAATCATTGCCCTTTGGGATACGGGGAATCTTTCATGTTCCGCTCTGCAAAGCTGAGGTGGCAACAGCTTTCAGCCAGCATCCTCCTGCATCCACTGGGCTGGAGAACTGGAGCAGCCGAGTGATGCTTCAGCTTTTATGGAGCTTGGGCTCTCTGAACAAGCGGAATGTTCTCCCCACGCCGCTGTGCTTAGGTCCCTGCTCACTGGGGGTTTCCCTTCTGTCCCCAGCTCTTGCCATCACATGCTCCCCCAGCGCCCACCCACCACCCCACCGTGATCGTTCCAGCGCCGCCTCCCTCCCATCATGTCACCGTGGTCACCATGGGCCCATCCTCGGTCATCAACACGGTCTCCACGTCGCGGCAAAACCTGGACACCATCGTTCAGGTAAGCTGGGGAGCAGCAGGGGGCTCGGGGGGGTCCCTAACCCCCATGGTGGCTCAAAGGGGACCCCGGAGATGTCCTGACAGCCGGTGTGTGTCCTGGGCAGGCGATCCAGCACATCGAGGGGACACAGGAGAAGCAGCTGCAGGAAGAGGAGCAGAGACGCGCCGTTATCGTAACGCCGGCGCGCGCCTGCCCCGAGCCCTCCGCCTCCGACACCGCCTCTGACACCGAGGGCAACGACAGTGACTCCATGGACCAGAGCAAAGAAGAGCCCTCGGGGGACGGGGAGCTGCCCTGACACCCCCTGGCCAGCAGCTGGGGAGGGGAGCCGGGGCAGGGGGGGAAACGTCAGAGAATATGCTGAAATTTTTAAAAAATACAACGCGATTTGGGTCTCTTTTATGACCTTTTTCCAATACTGTAAAGCAGAGCGGTAGAGGCAGGCAAAGGTCACCCTTCAGCTCCCAGGGGGGTGGGGGCTTCGGGGTGGCCACAGTGGGGCACGG